TTATTTTTTTCTAGTACATTCAGTGACTTAAATAATGTGCAACCGTGTCAAAACTGAAACTGAAGACTAGTAGTGCTGCTAAACATCACAAAGAACTAAGCTTTTTGGGTGACAGGTTGTTTTTTCATTGTCAGCAGCTAGGTTAGTTAACATCCAAATATATTCACCTTTTTTGAGCTAATATACTAATTAATAAATACATATAACATATGAAGGCAGTTTAGTTGAAATATAGGGTTAAAAATAATAGCGAAGCACCAAAAAATGACCTCTTTAATTGTGTGTGCTTGGGATATTGACTGCGAAACCTATGGTTTCATTCGCCTATACTTCTTTAATTCTACTCAACCTAGTCTTGAAAGGGGTGTAAAACACTACAAACTCTATAGCGGCCTACTAAAAATATGGATAATGTTACTAAATTTGGAGATTAGACATAATATGCAAATAGCCTATTATCAATGATATCAAACAGGAATATCAAATATAAATTTTAAATTTTCACCAAATAGGAAAAATTACATACATAAATTTAGCTCAAATAATGAGAAAAATAAATCTTTGACAAAACTTTTTTTTAAGTTGGATTTTTACGGGAAAGTCTATACCTCAAAAATTTCAAAGCTTTTTGAGTACCTTTATTTAAAATTTGTTTAATACCAGCAATTTCTGTAATTTCAATGGGCTTGCTTATTATCAGTAGAATTTCTGGATACCTACTTATATCCGAAGATAAGCAAATACCTTCAAATTGAAATAAACTGCTGATATTAAACACATTTCGACACTTGACCACTAATACATTCCGACGAACAGAAATATTACATAAGATAATTAGAAATTCCTACATAATATTTATCTCTTATTACCGAATACTCAGAATAAGAAAAAAAGAAAAAAGTAGAAATGTACAAGTAGGTGACTTTATAAACTCAACAATTATCAGTTTTGTATCCTGCATATCACGCTCGTATAAGAGTAAACTGGAAAAGTAAAGGATCAAATATGTCGTTTAGCACCAAATGGCCCAATCCCAAACATTTTCAAATATAAGTTATATGCATCAACGGCATTCCAGTACTACATACAAAACTTAAGGTGTAGATGTGGCCCAAATATTATATTTTCTGGATATTTTAGATTTTTTTTTCGAGAATATACAAAAGAATTTGTAAAAAATGTAAAAAATGTAAAAAATGTAAAAAATGTAAAAAATGTAAAAAAATTTAAAACATAAAAAATAAAAAATTATAAAAAATTATACAAAATTATAAAAAATTATAAAAAATAAAAAATTATAAAAAATTATGAAAAATTATAAAGAAATGTAATAAATTATAAAAATTAAGTAAAATTAAATAAAATTATTAAAATAAAATAAAATAAATAGAATAAAATAAAATTAAATAAAATTAAATAAAATTAAATAAAATTAAATAAAATTAAATAAAATTAAATAAAATTAAATAAAATTAAATAAAATTAAATAAAATTAAATAAAATTAAATAAAATTTAATAAAATTAAAAAAATTAAATAAAATTAAATAAAATCAAATAAAATTAAATAAAATTAAATAAAATTAAATAAAATTAAATAAAATTAAATAAAATTAAAAAAAATTAGATAAAATTAAATAAAATTAAATAAAATTAAATAAAATTAAATCAAAATTAAATAAAATTAAATAAAATTAAATAAAATTAAATAAAATTAAATAAAATTAAATAAAATGGAATAAAATTAAATAAAATGAAATAAAATTTAATAAAATTAAATAAAATAAAATTAAATAAAACTAAATAAATAAAATTAAATAAAATTAAAATTAAATAAAATTAAATAAAATTAAATAAAATTAAATAAAATTAAATAAAATTAAATAAAATTAAACAAAATTAAATAAAATTAAATAAAATTAAATAAAATTAAATAAAATTAAATAAAACTAAATAAAATTTAATAAAATTAAATAAGAAATTTTAAAATAATATAAAAAAAATAAAAAATAAAAAAAAATTATAAATTATTATACAGATAATATTAAAAATTTATAAATATGATAAATAAATTCTATACTAGGTATATTTAACAAAGTAAAATTATAAAAAATTATGAAAAATTATAAAGAAATGTAATAAGTTATAAAAATTAAGTAAAATTAAATAAAATTAATAAAATAAAATAAAATAAATAGAATGAAATAAAATTAAATAAAATTAAATAAAATTAAATAAAATTAAATAAAATTTAATAAAATTAAATAAAATTAAAAAAAATTAAATAGAATTAAATAAAATTAAATAAAATTAAATAAAATTAAATAAAATGGAATAAAATTTAATAAAATGAAATAAAATTTAATAAAATTAAATAAAATTAAATAAAATTAAATAAAATTAAATAAAATTAAATAAAATAAAATTAAATTAAATTAAATAAAATTAAATAAAATTAAATAAAATTAAATAAAATTAAATAAAATTAAATAAAATTAAACAAAATTAAATAAAATTAAATAAAACTAAATAAAATTTAATAAAATTAAATAAGAAATTATAAAATAATATAAAAAAATAAAAAATAAAAAAAAATTATAAATTATTATACAGACAATATTAAAAATTTATAAATATGATAAATAAATTCTATACTAGGTATATTTAACAAAGTAAAATTTCTAAAATCATTAAATAAAATTTTTAAAGAAAAAAATTAAGCCTTTTTTAAATTTCAAGAAACTTCAATGTGTAATGTTATTATAAAAATATTAATAATTCATTAACTTGCAAATAACACGCTATAAGAATTATTCACTTTTGTCGGCACTCTCCAAGTGCTACTCTCTTTTTTATTTATTATTATAATGTACGTTATAAATATCTTTTTTTAGCGTACTATTAACAAGTTTAAACCTCTGTAGTTTTCTTGCTGTTTTTTTATCTCCTTTTTAAATAGTAGAATTAGTTTGCTCGTTCCCCATTTCTTCGGTATTATATTGTGTTTTATAATTTTATTAATTAACGTTACTATTTCAGTAATTCGTTTATGTACCCTGTCTTTACCTGCTGCTTTTCTGTTCTTCATGTATTTTTTGAACTTCCTGTACATTTATATTAAGTTCTTCATTTGTGGTAATTCCTGGTGTTTCCGGTTCTATCGTCGTTTGTTCTTCTTCTGCATAGAGCTTTTTTAGGTAGTCAATCAACGTATCCTTTTCTATGTATTTTGATTACATTAGTTCCTTTAGCTCAGTTTTTTGACCTCTTATGAAGCGCCGTATTTCCTTTTGTAGACCGTAAAAATCAGGTTCCATTTTTTTCGAAAAGCAATCCCAGTGATCATTTTTTATTTTTCCTACAAGTGTATGTGTTTCTTTTCTAATTCTCTTGTAATTATGGTATGCCTCTTTGTGTTTTGGTTGACGTATTTCAGGTAAGCTTTTTTTTCTTTTCATTTTTCCTTCACTTCTATACAAAACCATAGAGTTCTTCGCCTTGGGAATGATTTATTTTTCTTTATATTTCTTTTATCAAGAATTTCCTTGGCCGAGGCTAAGATATTAGAATTATTTTTGCCCAGCTTTCTTCGATTCCATCACTTTTTGTGATATATGTGTTTCTTATTATTAAAGAGAGTCAAAAATCGGCAATATTTATAGAAAATAACAACAAATATAGCCAATTATATACAGGATGTATATACAATTTTTAGACAATTTGTGAATATTTTATAATATTATAAGAAAATAATAACCAATGAAGTAAATGAAGTTTACTTGTTTAAAATATTGGATTTTTTTCTTTGTACCACAAATCCTAATTTAAATAAAATATAAAATAAAAGATAAAATCATCAATTGCAAAACCACACAATAACCAAAAAGTAATAAAAATTAAGTTTTAGAAATAGAAATTTATTAAAACAAAAGAGTAAAACTTCTCTCAGACATTAAAAAGGCAATTTTTATTAGAATTCAATAATTTTAATTGGGTCAATTTTGAGCTCAACACCTTAAATGTGAGATTCTTCCAGTTCAAATTTACTTTAAATACAATTAATATTTTGATAAAATGAAAGGCAGATAACGAGCACTGTTTAATTAATTAAATATTGACCAAGTACTTACGCTTTCTAGAGCATCTTCGGGGGCATTTCGTCAAATTTTGGGCTATATAACAATTGTAGAATGTCATAAACCTAAAATTAAACATATAATTAAACATAACACTACACTAAACAAGGACAAACAGTTCAAAATTATTTAAAAAATAGTTGAAGCTACATTCTGGTCGTCAACGGAAGAGAGAATGAGAATGAGAGAGGGAGAGAGACATTCTCTCTCCTGTTGCAGACCAGAATGTAGCTTTCACTATTTTTTTAAAATAATTTTAAACTGTTTGTCTTTGTTTAGTGCAGTGTTATGTTAAATTATATGTTTAATTGTATGACATTCTGAAATTGTTGGATAGCCCAAAATTTGACGAAATGCCCCTGAAGAAGCTCTAGGAAGCGAAAGCACTTGGGCAAGATTTAATTAAAAAAACAGTAAAACAGCCTTTCATTTTATCAAAGTCCATTTATTCGAGCATTCAACCTTATATCAGAATTAATATTATTTTATAAGTTTAAAAAAGAATATATTAATACATACATAAATAAATAAAACTTACTTTTTGCATTATTTGTTGCCTCTTTTTCTCTTCTTGAATCAGAACCATTTCCCTCTCAGTGGAAATCTTGATGCTTTCTCGAAGAGCCGATTCAAGCTCTTGTATCCGTCTTTCCTTTTCCAATGACAAGTCTCTATCCTTTTCGTTCTCTTGGTCTTTAATATTTTTAATTTGTTTTTCGAATGCCGATAACATCGAATCTTTGTTCTCTATCTCTATATGCATTTCATCGTTAGTATTTTTAAGGTTATTTTTCAAATCCGTTATAATATTGTCTTTTTCTTTTAGAACTGTTTCCAATTTTAGTTTTTCATTTTTTATTTCTTTTAGAGAATTTTCATTAATTTTTAATGATTCCTCTAAATGTTTAATATATTTAGAATCTATTGCTTTACAGACAGCGTCCCTTTCTGTTGAAGGTTCCGGCAGGTCCTGTTTCTCTGTTTCGTGTTTTTGCAGTTCGGCTTCGTAGAGCTTGATAGTAGACTCTAGATGCTTGACGTAACTGTCGTCTTCTAACTGTTTATTTTCTGTACTCGACTCCGGATCCATCGTTATCTTGAAGTCGTGTTTACTTGTAATACTGTTCTCGTTTTCCTAATGTTAAGCAACAAAACGGTACAAAACATAGCGTTGACAATATACATTATGCATTTATACAAATACGATTAAATAAAAAATTGGAGCGGATAAGTGGGGGAATGGGGCAGGATTGAGGAGATGGCATGGCAAGACTAGAAAAAGCTTTTTAAGAAGCCAGCAGGTCCAGCCTGTAGATACGTACGGTTCCGTGTTAGCAAGAAAAAAATTAGAAAGTTTATAATTAGTAGGAATTTTTTTATATGATGACAAGTGAACATTTTATTTTTTGTTTTATGTTTTATTTGTTTGTTTTGTATTCTTTTGTAAATTATAAGGAAGTATTATAATGCAAAAATATAATAAATATTATACATTGCATTTTAGAATTAATAAACACCTAGAATTTTAAGCATAACATTTTTTTAAAAACGATTTCCGGAGTGTAAATAAAAACATTAATATATCGTAAAATGTAATTTTTCTCAAAATTAATTGTACTTTAAATCCATATAGGTAAATACAATAATACAATGAAATATGTGTTAATAATTTACATTTTTTACCTGTACCAGGGGTTAAATACGAACTGTATATTAATATCTGTATTAATACTACAACACTATTTTGCTACTTTCAACAATAAAATTATTCACTTGTCGTTTGTATTTATTATAATAATTTTATTTTTAAATAGTGTGCCAAAATCAAATATTACCTCTTGTTGTTGTGCTTGTTGTTGCTGTTGTTTTAATTTTGCCTGTGCATTTTTAAGGGCCCTGAAATACAAATCATTATTAGCATATTTCTTGAATTATAGATATTATTTTTAAATGAAGAGGGTTTTCAGTAATTTTTGAATATTACTTATTACATAGATAAAAGCACTGAAGCATTAATTTCTATTTTTTTGGTCTTCGAAATTCCTTAATGGACTACCGATAGCATCACAATGGGCGTTGGTTAGAAATCATTTCCAAAAAAAACTATTTTGTGTGTATTTGTCCCATAAGAACTTGGAAATATGTATTAGTTGTTTTAATTGTTTGAATAGTAAATAAGGACTTTTGTTATGAATTCATTCTGTGCGATTGGTATTGTTTTGAACATGCATTCAGCGTGGACCGTGTAACGGTTGCATCTCGAAAGTGACTAGAAGTTTCCGGCGATATCGAGTGCGAGCGAGAACAACCCGTCACGTAGGCGAATTAGAGGTGGGCTACTTCAGAATGTTCTGAAACATAGTAACTTTGGTATATATATGTAACGATGTTATGAGTGGAGTGGAGTTATTATCAATATCAAGTTAAATCAATAAATCATTGAATTTATTTACGCGGAAAAATATTTAAATTAATGTTTCATGTTTTTTTTCTTGCCAGCGGTTTTATTCTGTAAAAGACTAAAGATATTCGTTTTCTCGTGATTTATGTTGTAATATAACATTAAGTTGGAAACTTAATGGATTATATGTTGTACTAGTTTTTGAGTTCATTATTTTTTAGATCAGGGCTTATAATGGCTAGTAAACATTGTGTTGAAGATATCCAGTATTACTTAATTTTTCAGTAATGACAACACAACTACTATTACCTGTTTAAACTAAGAGAAAAAATGATATATTTAGTCTTTTAGGGGATAGGTACAATCACTAGCGTTTAAAGAAGAATAAAACATGAATTTAACTTTCTAAATAAATTTAATAATTTATTGATTAATTTTGACATAACCCCGATAAAAACAACAACAAAATACTTTGAAATACAATTAAAAATAATCAAAATTTTAATCAAATAATAACGTAACCTTAAAATATGAATATTCATGGCAATAATAACAATCGCGCAGAATGAATGTTCATAACCCCCGCCCATTGTGACTACAAAGCTTAGGTAGTTCATTGAAAAGTTGGATATCATTACAATGTTTACAATGTTTAACTTATCTTCTTCTGCTTTAAATATTTGACTGAAGGCACAGAGTGCCTATTCTGTCAAATTACGCAACCGTAATATTATTTTCATGTTTATGCTACATTTAGACATATTTTCTAAACCATACATTTTCCTTCAACAACTAGAGTTAACTTAACAAATTTTTAGGCAACTAAACTAAGTCACTAGGCACCAGTTCAAAATTTTTATGACGTTTCACGCATGTAATTATTATCGGAAAACTACGCCATTTTGTAAAATCATTTTGATGCTAATAATATCTGAATGACTCTCCTTGTTTCAAGTACTTTCCAACAAAACGTACCTATTATAAATTTTATTATACATAATAACGACGTCTTTTTTCTGAACAATAAAACAAAAAAATGATAATTATTTAAGTAACAAGGTATGAGTGGATAGTTTTTGATGAGATTCAGATCATTGAAACTGGCGGACCAAAGAAGCGTCTTGTCAGGTGATATGTTAAATATTCAGGATTAAATAATTCTGTTTTTAGCATCATTGCGAAGCATTTCATATCTGTGGATTCCTGTCCATTTTTGTCCTTGTTCGCAGCCATGACATTTTTTTACGTCCCAGACCTCTCCTACCCTCTATCTTCCCTTCGAGTATCAGTTGCTGAAAAGTGTATCTTTCTCCTCGTAGTATGTGCCCCAAGTATGCAGTCTTCTTACTTTTTACATAACTAAAAAGTTCCATATCCTGTAAGCCCGCTCTTCTGAGTACTTCCTTCCGTTTGTTAATGGAACTGGCCTTTAACGTCCATGCTTCCATTCCGTACATAAGAACAGGCCAAACGAAACACTTAAGCATCTTGTATCGGAGGTTGAAGTCCAATTTGCGATCAGTCAGAAACTTAAGAAGCCTCAAAAAAGCATTTCTGGCTAGTTCAACTCTGTTTTTTATTTCATTCTCGGGGTCCCAACTCTCGTTCAGCAAACAACCCAAGTATTTGAATTACCTGTTCAATTTCTTCTCCCGAGACATAAATCTTTGCGTTGGGGTAATCATTTCTACTTATAATCATTGTTTTTGTCTTCTTGATATTTATTTTCAAACCCCGAGCTTCACTTGCAAGAGTTAGATCATTTAAAAGGCATTGAAGATCTTCGATGTTATCTGCCACTATGGCTGTATCATCGCCATACCTAATGTTATTAATAAATATGCCGTTAACTTTAATACCCTTATTAGAGTCTGCCACTGCTTCTGCGAGGGCTTTTTCTACGTATAAATTGAACAGCATTGGAGACAGTATACAACCTTGACTTACTTCTGTTTTAATGGAGAAATCTTCTGTTTCGTTGAAATTTTGAAGACGTACTGTTGCTGTCTGGTTCCAATACAGATTGGCGATAATTCTTATATCCTTGGCATCCAATCCCAACTCTTGTAGGTATTTTATCATCAATTCGTGTTTTACATTATCGAATGCTTTCACGTAATCGATAAAACAGACAAAGACATCCTTTCTTTGATCTAAACAATTCTGTACTGCACACATTTTGTTAGATACTTTTAAACGGTATAAGCAATTTTCTATGTTGTAGCTATTGTTGAAAACTAGTTGAATCGTGCTGTGTTAAAATTAAATATATTAACTAAACTTTTATTTCTGAAAAACTTACTGTTGCAGATCCGAAATCTGCTTCTCCTTAACGTTCTGTTCTTCCTGGCTCATTTGAACTAATTGAAGCAGTCTTTCCATTTCAGTAGCCGACCGTTTTGCTTCTTCCTGTGCTTGTTCCATCTTTTTCTCGGCATCAGCCAACTTCTTATTTAACTCACCCACAGCGGCAGCGTTTCCGCCAGCCTAAAAAAAATAAAATACTTGATTTAACAGTGCAAAACTATATGCGATATTAAAGTCAACTTAAATAGGTATAAAATTACTGGCCTGAAGTAGTAAACAGTCGATATTAACGATAGAAAATAATTAAATCATAGTACCTAATTTCATATATTCAATAGGTACCTACATATATTTTGCTTTAATAGCTGCCCAGGCCTAAATATTATTTAAGTATGAAGGAACTGTGAACTACTTTTGTTTGTAGTTACTTTTTATTTGTAGTAGTACAGTTCTTTGACATATTTTATATAAGTACCTAATAATACAATAATTACTATCGGCATGCACACAGGATAGGTGGATAAGTACCTACACTCTTTCCCTCTTTCTCTCTTTGTTTCTATCACTCTTTCTCTAACTCTCTCTCTATTTCTCTCTCTCCACCCTCTTCTCCCTGGTGACGTACAGTGAAACATAAGTTCCTCGTTTCGATCAATATTTTAGGTTAATTAAAGTCAGAAAAATGAAAGATTGCCCATGAACTATCATATTTTGTATTTGCTGTCACTTTTCTGCAGATAACAAACGAAAAAGATAGATTATTAAGTGCTGTCCACTAAACAAAAATCCACTAAAAAAAAAACTTGATGGATTCGACCGTTACTTGATGGAAATTCATTTTATGTAACAATAAAACACTGAAAACTTTTTTTTCAAACTTCCACAAAATTTATTTTAAATGTTATCACTACAGCTGTTTCGGCTGATTGCCTTTCTCAAGTGATCTATTTTGGCTTGGGTTTACAAATTTATAGTCTCTAATGAAATAGGTTGAGGAGGGGAGAACTGTTTGTCTCAAGTTGGTCATTCAGAATTATATCTGTGTTTTTTAATTTGTTGATTTCCATAGATTCTAACAAAGATAGCTTAAGGCCTTTATTTTGAATGTGAAGAATTTTAAATTTGTCATTAAAAGAATGAATATGATCTAGAAGGTGAAGTGCGTATGTCGAATCTGTTTTTCTATTCTTGAAAGCCCTTTTATGTTGTGCTATTCGTTTATCAAAGTTTCTACCAGTTTGACCGATGTAAGTTTTTGGGCAGTCGCGACATTCAAGTTTGTACACACCACTATTTAAGTGTTTTTTATTTTTGCTCTTGTTATTTTTAATATATTTGCCTAGGTTGTTATTTGTTCGGAAAGCTGGTGTTATTCCTTTCTTTTTTATGTGTTTGACAATTTTTGTTGTTATTTTGCCTGTATATGTAATCGAGCAGAAGGTACTGAGTTTTTTCTCTGGTGGTGGAAATACTAATTTCAGGGCTTTCTTGTGTAGTTTTTGATTTAACATTTTATTAATTGTTTGTTCGTTGTATCCGTTGTTTACTGCTATCTGCTTAATTATATTTAATTCTGTCTCAAAGTTGTATTTTGACATAGGAATTTCTGTTAATCTATGTAACATACTATGATAAGCTGCCAGTTTATGTTGTGTTGGATGGGATGACGAATTGTGTATAGTCGTGTCCGTATGGGTAGGTTTATGAAATATGGAGAAGTCATGTTTGTTTTGAAGTCTGCTAATTTTTAAATCTAAAAAATTTATGGATTGATTTTGTTCTGTTTCTATTGTAAATTCAATATGACTATGAAGTGAATTAATATATGATAAAAATTGGTCCAGTTGCCTGTTAGTTCCTGTGAAACATACCAGTACGTCGTCTACGTATCTCCACCATCATAAAAACTGTTTGAATACGGGATGTTTTGAAATCTTTGTCTCTAGATGATCCATAAAAATATCTAATAGCAATGGGCTTAGAGGATTACCCATTATAAGTCCTGCACTGTTATTTGTATAAATTTTATTATGAAATTCAACCAGGACTACTTTGAATTTAATAATAAAATTTATACAAATAACAGTGCAGGACTTATAATGGGTAATCCTCTAAGCCCATTGCTATCAGATATTTTTATGGATCATCTAGAGATAAAGATTTCAAAACATCCCGTATTCAAACAGTTTTTATATTGGTGGAGATACGTCGACGACGTACTGGTATGTTTCACAGGAACTAACAGGCAACTGAACCAATTTTTATCATATATTAATTCACTTCATAGTCATATTGAATTTACAATAGAAACAGAACAAAATCAATCCATAAATTTTTTAGATTTAAAAATTAGCAGACTTCAAAACAAACATGACTTCTCCATATTTCATAAACCTACCCATACGGACACGACTATACACAATTTGTCATCCCATCGAACACAACATAAACTGGCAGCTTATCATAGTATGTTACATAGATTAACAGAAATTCCTATGTCAAAATACAACTTTGAGACAGAATTAAATATAATTAAGCAGATAGCAGTAAACAACGGATACAACGAACAAACAATTAATAAAATGTTAAATCAAAAACTACACAAGAAAGCCCTGAAATTAGTATTTCCATCACCAGAGAAAAAACTCAGTACCTTCTGCTCGATTACATATACAGGCAAAATAACAACAAAAATTGCCAAACACATAAAAAAGAAAGGAATAACACCAGCTTTCCGAACAAATAACAACCTAGGCAAATATATTAAAAATAACAAGAGCAAAAATAAAAAACACTTAAATAGTGGTGTGTACAAACTTGAATGTGGCGACTGCCCAAAAACTTACATCGGTCAAACTGGTAGAAACTTTGATAAACGAATAGCAGAACATAAAAGGGCTTTCAAGGATAGAAAAACAGATTCGACATACGCACTTCACCTTCTAGATCATAATCATTCTTTTAATGACAAATTTAAAATTCTTCACATTCAAAATAAAGGCCTTAAGCTATCTTTGTTAGAATCTATGGAAATCAACAAAGTAAAAAACACAGATATAATTCTGAATGACCAACTTGAGACAAACAGTTCTCCCCTCCTCAACCTATTTTATTAGAGACTATAAATTTGTAAACCCAAGCCAAAATAGATCACTTGAGAAAGGCAATCAGCCGAAACAGCTGTAGTGATAACATTTAAAATAAATTTTGTGGAAGTTTGAAAACAAAGTTTTCAGTGTTTTATTGTTACATAAAAAAAACATTTAATATGAGTATAGAGATTATTGTATAAACTACTATTCGAAAAATCGTACTGGTCAACTATAATCTGACCGATTCGATTTCCATTATAACCAGTTCCACGTTCAATGTAAATTGTTTTGTTTACGTTTATGTTAGGTTAACTTACGTAGAGATTTAAAGGCGCGTACAGACCTAAAAACGCATGAGATGAGCTGCCACAAATAAACATACGTTTGCAAATGTGGACGGCGCTTTCGTAACCTCTCGCTACATGCGTTGCTTCTCGCGAATGACTTGAGCACACATGCTGCGAGCCAGAGTGGTGTCGGTTTTTTCGCACACATCAAAGAAACATACGTGTGCGTTCGCAATTAGTTTAGACGGATAGCGTGGGCATTTGTTGCATTTGCAAGACAAGTTCGAATATATTGAATTTTATTCATTTTATTGATTTATGTGTAAAATGGAGTGGTCAAACGAACAATGTTTGCAATTAATAGATTTGTATAAAAAAAACCCTATATTATGTTACCAGTAAACGTTCCTTAACATGTATGGCTTTTCTTAAGACTGTGTCGTTTTTCTTTATTACGGGGCCTATATAAATATATAGCTTTTAAAGGCGTTCAAAGTCTTCTACTGACATACGTTTTTTTCTTTTTTAATAAACTGATACCGACAAGCACTAACCATTTTCACGAATGGATGGAGCGCCTTGAGCACGCGTACATATGCGGTGATTTCTAATTTCAACGAATGCTCTGAGCGCGAATGGTTTGAGTACGCACGTATATGCCTGGCTTCTCACCGCATGCTTGTGCTAGTCTGTACGCGCCTTTAGATTTTAATAATCAGTCGTATTTACTAGAATAAACTCAGTTCTTTTAAGAGTTATTTTGATATTATATTGTATGTTTGGTTTGGTAAGTATTTATTTAAATAAAATACGCCATTAAAATTTGTGATTAATCACCTGTTAATATGGTTAACTTCTGTCTTATGAGTTTACTAAACATGTATATAGTATTAATATGACTTTTCAATTATAATTTATGACATTACAGATTAGTATATTGTAACGAATGTACATTTCTTTGCAGATAATGACTGAAAAACCGCTAAACTCGCAATCACAACAATTGGTTTAAAACTATTATAGAAAATTGGAAAGTACGCCAAAATTGATCAACTAATTGACTAACTGAGGTTTGTTAACTTAGTGTGTTTTCGCAAATTGCGTTTTAGACGCCTTAATAAGAGGCAGAGTCCAAAAATATTAACTCTTTTCAAATTAAATATAAAATTTTCTTATAACAGAATTATCTATCAATACTTACTCTCTGTAAGGAATTTTGTAATTGGTCCAGTTGCTGCTTTTGTTTTTGTAATTGCTTATCTAAATCTGCTAAGGCTCTCTCTTTTTCTTCTACTTGTCTACTCTTATTTTCTACGATTCTTCTTTGTTCCTCAAACTGTTTCTTAGCTTCTTCGATTATCTTTCTCTCTTCGGCCAGTTGCCTCCTCTCAGCGGTATGGTCCTCGGTTGGTTTTTGGGCACTGACAGCAGCTGCTCTCTTGTGAGCTTCTTGAAGTTCCATCTAGAAATTTTGTGAAAGATAAATAAACTTCTGGATATTAGTAAATATAAGGTTTGGTTTAGTTAATTAATAGAGCGTTAAAATAAAAAATATATAAATAACGTGTAAATATTTATTAGCAACGATATAAGAGAAAAAAAAAAGAAATAAAATGAATAAACCTGTAACATAGAAAAAATATTAATAAAATTTAATAAATAAAAATAAACCATAAATAAAACTAAAGCATTTGAAAATACACAGAAACCCCATGAAATTTAATAGTAATGTTAAAAATGAGTCAATTTTCTGTGTTCTTTTAAAAATAAAAATATTAAAATTTATTTATAGGCCAGAAAATAAAGCATTTTGGTTCGCAATTTTTTCGTCCAGTATAAATTAACTTTAAATTTTCACGGAAGATAGGGAATAGCCCAAGGATCATTTTCTATATCATGCAGCTGTACGCTAAAACCTTGGGGGTGGTTGCCACCCCATCTAGGAGGTGGGAATTTTTTATTACATTTTACCCATAGAAATCGATGGAAAAAGTAAAACTTAGAGAAAAATGTTTTTTAAGTTGTCTTCGCAAAACTGATATTTTTTTGTTATTCGCGGGTGAAAGCTCAGTTCTATTTTATTTTCGCCAGCGGATAAAAGTACTTACATCATGGAGCAGTTGCCTGTATCTTTCGTGAATTTCAAACAGGGTATGACTCTTAGTGTGCAAGTAAAACGTGTGGTGTTTAAGGTATTGGACTATCATCTGAACTTAAAAAATGGTGACAGCTTGACTACTACTGCCTAAAAAGTTTTGACAATGTGCGGTGTGAGTTTTCGCAAAATTTATTACATCCACGTAGAGACAAACTGAAACCGGTACAAAAAAGGCAGAAAAGCAGTTTCCAGTCCAATTCACGTGAGATTTTGAATAAGGAAAATTGTCCATGATTATTTTTTTGGAAGACATACCCCCAACCGTCGACAGCATAATCAACAGAGTTCAAGGATGATGAGGACCTGCCAGCTTTTTTAAAAACCACATTTCGTAGGTTACTAAATGACATGGGTTTTAAATATGGTAAAAGGGGCCGAGATTCGATCGAATTAGAATTAGAAATAAAATATATCATATCCTGGAAATACACGTGTACCTCAGACAAATAAAAACAATAAGGAAGAAGGATAATGTAAACCTTGTTTATACCGATGAGCCTTGGATTATTGTCGATGCTTTAGTCAAAAAGGAATGGAGGGACACAACGATCAGGAATTCACGAGATGCCTTCATAAAAGGGCTCTATACTGGACTGAAAGCTCCAACCCAAAGAAGTCCTTGGTTTGTTCTTCTTCGTGCTGAAAGCGAAACTGGTTTTGTGGTATGGGACGAATGAACTTTCTTGACCAAGAAGGGAATCGCTGATTACCATGATGAAATGGACTGGGATCTATATGAAGAATGGTTTGAGAAGACGTTTATTTCAGATCAATTATAGAATACTTTTAAGATCTGCTCGAAATTATTATTATTGTATGGCAAAGATGTATAGTTTTTATGCAAATTGGTTGACCTCTTGTTACACATTAGCTACAGTAATGGCATATTAACATATTTTGTTTCAAAAAAATTTTTTTACCTTCTGTACAATTTTAATTTTAATTTTGCGTATTACATCCAGTTTAAATTATAAAATATATAGTAAAAATAAAGTATTCATGTCAATTCGCCGAAATGTTTGGCCAACATTAAAGTTATATTTGGCCAATACCTTTATAAAGTAGTAAAACTATCTTATAAAGTAGTGAAAAACCTTCTATCATAGGTCATGTTCAATGGTATAAGGCATACATGAGTTATTTTACTAAACTAGTAAGCAATTAAGTGAGAGGGAAATATTACCGAACATGGAATGAACACAACAGCAAGTGCTGTTTAGTTTCACCGCGTATGTTAGGAGACTAGAAGAAGGATCTTTAGATTCTGTTAAAGAGAGTATGCTTAGATCTGTAGTTCATAAGGAGAATCCTGCAATATAACTAACAGTATGGATCGTGCTGAAAGATTAACAGTCGAATTAAAATAGGTTTAGTAAGAACCACCTACTATAACTATATAGGAAAAATTAAATTAGACACCAATCCTAATAAAATATAACAATAAAGATGTGATCACCAAATTTAACAAAATTTCTAAATTATCGGAAGTTAAGTTTAGTTCTATGTATAAGCAATACGTTTTAAAGTTTTTAAATATACAATGAATATATTTTACAATGTTAAAACCATTGCTTTTACATATTATATAAAAACTTACCTGATTTCTTTCAAGCTCTTGAACCAGCATCTCAAGTTGTGACTGCAGCCTTTCTTTTTCTGTGGTCGAATTCTTTACATCCGTATGTGCTTTCTCTAGTTCTTTTCTTAACCGTGCAACCTCCTTGTCGTCTTGCGGCGGTGGTTGTATTCCCCTTTCTTTCTGATATTGTGCCATCTGTTGTAGTTGCTGCTGTAACTGTTTCTCCATAACCTGAATACGTTTTTGAAGATCCTGTGCCGTTTTTTCGGCTTGATCCGCTCGGTCTGTTTCTTGTTGTACGACCTTTCTCCATTGTTCCAGTTCAGAGTCTCCTCTGGCTCCAGATTCATGAAGAAGTTTTTCTGCTTTATCTGCTCTCTGTCGGTGAGTGTCTCTTTCTTTCTGTACTGCTTGTAACTGTTGTTGCAATTTAGCGATTTCCTTATCTCTATTTTCAATGACATCTTTGGTTCCTCTTTCGACATCCTGCGTCATCTTCTTCTGTTCTGTTTTAAGTCTTATTACTTCAGCTTTTTGTTTTTCTAGTTCTGCCTCGCTCTGATTTAACTCTTGTTGGAAGTTCATAAGCATATCTTGAGATTTTTCTAGTTGCATTACTAATTGATCTCGTTCCATTGTTAGCTGTTTTATATCTGCCTCATACTTAATTATTTGCTTTTCTATAGATTCACCTTGACGACCTTGCTTGTCAAGCATGGCTACCATCTTTTCTCTCTCCCTAGAAACCTAGAAAAATAAACATAATAAATATTTAAATTTTTTTTCCCATTTTTATCCAACAGTTTACACTGATCAATTAGTGCAGAATTCACAGCCGGTTTTATAATAAAATACTGTTTTCTTATTTTTAATCTGTGATTTAGAATTATTTGTACCCGATGATCAGAAAGAGTTAAAAAACATTTTTATAGGTTTTTGGTGGAAGAATAACGCAAAACTTTTATTTGAATACGCAAATCTTAATTTTTGGGAAAAGTATTAAAACATCTTAAAATGTATAGTACGTACGTGCTTGGTATAACTATAATGTTTCAAAAGAGATCAGGCGACATATATGTTTAAAAAAATGTCATCGCAATATCAAAAACAACGAGAACTAAAAGATAAAGCTTTGTTATAAGATAATAAGACTTATACAGATCAAATCGGCAACAGTTTAGTAAATCATGGTATCCAGTTTATATTGCAACAAAAAATTCTACAAAAAAGTTTATTATCGGGTAAAGAAAACCGTTGCCTACTACACATTCCTTGTAGTTGTGGTTCAGCGTACGTTGGGTAAATACTCGTCAGACTTAACACAAAAGAAACAATCAACCTTTGCAGAATATACAATCACATAAGACAACCGCAAAACTTTTCGCGAAGAAACATAATAAACGAAACACAACATATTATTTATGAATAATTTCCTACACCCTGATTCTCTAGACCAAAATTCATCTCCTTCTAAATACGCCTAGCTTCTAGAGATGTTGGCAACCGCCTTAACCAATCTTATTCTATTCACACCAGCTCGAAATAGATCAGTTGACGTTAGACCAGTCCGCTTTCTAAGATTGGCCAGCCAGGATATACGTCTACGTCCATGGACTCTATTACCCTTAATCTTGCTTTGTAGAATCAACTGCAGAAGTCGGTATTTATCATTATGCATGATGTGGCCGAAGTAAGCCAATTTTCTGTTTTTTACAGTGTTAATAACTTCTTTGTCTTTTCTTAGCCTCTGAAGAATAGTTATGTTACCAAAATTACCCATTTGATAAAATCTGCTGTACTAACAGGTTTAATGCCAGGAACAATTACTAATAAAAATCTATAAGTACCGAAATCAATATATCATTACAGTTTTTACTGAGAATGCATACTTTTTTGCTAGGGAATAAGGAAAGATCTTGCCTAAGGAATCCTAGAAAATAAAGATCATCGCTTTTATGAAATCCGGCAAGCTGGACAATAAACAAAAAAGCTATAGGCCTATTGCCCTCTTAAACATAGCGTATAAACTGTGTGAACGACTTCTCTACAATGCTTTAAATCCAATCATACTTGAATCTCTACCCATTAATCAGGCAGGCATCTTCACCTACCTAACAGCTGCCTACGATACTGTGTTGCTTAGCATTGAGTTTACTAATAGCTATAAAATGCGAAACAATGACCTCCTATGGAAAATATGTTGTCTAATAGGATTTTGCACGTATCAATGCGGGAACCACTCAGTAAACAAAAACCCTAAGCTCTCCAGGAATCAGTATTCGTCCTTCTTCTATTCAACCTCTATTTGACTGATCCACCAACCACCATATTAAGAAAATTTGCAATCCAACATACCAACATAAACGCTCTCGAACAAACTCTCGCTCAAGACATGACAAATACCTCATGCTTTCACTTAAATAAAAAGCTTTCTATCGTACCCATACAGATATTGCTAGATAACAAAATGTTACTTTTCAATCCATATGCAAAATACCTAAGCGTGAAACTGGCATTCTCTCCTTTAATAAACATCTGACAACTCAATATTAACATCCTGAAACAATATACTGTAGAAACTAGTAGGAACACTAAAGAGCTGGTGCAAAAACACTCCAGACTACCTCACTCAGTCTGATTTACTCCACGGCTAAGTAGTGCTCATTAGTCTGGCGGAACAGCCCCATGTAGACAAAGTCGATAGAGTATTAAAGTACCCGATGACGATAATATCTATATACAACTTTACTCTTCGGGTTGCCGGTCCTGAGCAAAATCGAGTAACCTAAAGAACGAAGATGCCACATCCTTTAATAGAACAGTTTAAAAAGATCGTCAACAACCCAGGATTACCCATTCACCAAGACCTAATTGATTTCAGAAACCTTAAACCCAGAAGCCTCCCAGCGAGGATCGACAACTTAGAAATCAAGACTACGTGTATTGAAGCATAGTGAATAGACTGGATAAATAGAGTCAATCTCAGATGACACAATGTATTTCATCCCATAACCATCCAGCGGACCTACACAGCCTAAGAAAAACATGGGCAGCATTAAACAGAATACGTACAGAACACAGCCGTTGTGAATTCTTCCTATTTAGATGGAACATAACGCCCAACCCTAGCTGCCTCTGCGGAGTCCACGAACAAACCCTCCACCACATCGGCAAGATGTACCCGCTAAGGGATTTCAATGGTACCGATGATGACTGTTTGATGATAACTACAGTGTCTGAAAAGTGGCTCCGGAACCTGAACATGAAACTGTTATAAACAACTGGATGAGGGTTGTCGAATGCGCGATGGACACATTTTAATTTTTTTTTCTTTTTTAAACTTTTTCTACAGTTCTAGTGACTTTAAATGTTTTTTAATGCTTTAGTCTAACAGTATCATGAAAATGCATATGATGTGTCACGTCATATGTTAAATAAAATAAATATACGCCAATAAAAGTTGTTTTTAATATTCAACTGTGCATCTAATACACACAAGATATACTTGTAATAAGAATATCATCAATATATTCTTACCTGTGCTAATTCTTGCTGCAACTTAACGATGGTTTCTTGTGATCTGTGATCTATCGTCCTTCGTTGTGAATCCAATCCGGTTCGTATTTGTTGTAGCTCTGCCCTAAGTACATCTCTCTCCTGTTCCATGGTTTTCCAGTCAAGCTTGTCCCTTTCTATCCTCTCGTGCATTCTAGCAAGTTCATTCGCCATTCTTTCAAATTCAATTTTAGTAGCCTCGTTGGTCTGTAAGGCATTCGCCAAATGTTGCTGAGATTTCTCCAGCTCTTGCGCAAGACGACCAGCCTCAAGTTCAGTAGCGTCTCGAGCCTGAATTGCCTTTTCTAGTTTTTCCTTGAGTCGTTCAATTTCCAACCTTTCGTCATTTCTTACTTTGTCGGCTGCTAAAGTTTGCCTCCTATCCGCTTGTGCGATTTCTAATTTTAATTTTTCGTTGTCTTTTTCCAATTTTTCTGATTGGAGTTTTAATTTCTCGTACCTATCTCTTAGTTTCTCACATTCTATTACAGCACGTTCAAGTTCGTTTCGCTGCTTATCTTGTCCACCAGATACTTTGGACACTTCTTGTCTTGCGAGGTCTAATTGTATAGATACCTCGTGTAATTTGGTCTCTAGTTGTTGATTAGTATTGAGAGTTCGTGTTAAATCGTCTTTAAGTCGTTCCATCTCCATGCTCCTTTCTTTTTCTTGCTCGTATGTAAATTTGCCTCTTGTGGTTTCCATGTGGGCAATTTCTTTTCTGGATCTATCTAGATCTCCTAGTGTCTTGTCGAGTCTTTCCCTCAACCTGTAAACATAAGGTATATTTAATTTACTTCAAATTTAATATATGTTTAATAAAAAAGTCTATAGAAGAATTACATTGAGTAAAATAAATAAAATTGACTAGCTTCATAGCCGTACTAAAAGATGTATATTTTATGTGTTATCAGTTCGGTTTGAGTAAAAAAGTTATGAGCCCTCTTCAAATGTGATAAATTTTTCCAATTTTCGCGATTTTTTCAAAGAAAATCTTATCTAATAAATATAATAGATTATTAATGAAAAGACTTAATTACTATTTAACTGGGAATAACCCACAATTATCGATAAAAATACGTTTATTGATGTTTCAATTTCCACTTCGGAAATCGTTCTCAAAATACAAACAGTAAATTAAACAAATTTTTTGTTACGTAGTGAAAAATTCTTTTAATAATTTAATTTTATCTGATCCATTTATATTGACAATTCCGACATACATTATGCATTTTAAAGTAGACTTTAAAATGATATTGCCAATATTGTTGAGTTGCGCTCCTGGGACGACTTTACTTATAAGATAGTTCATTCGATTACATGAAATCAACTTTAACTTGAGAATATCCGTTAGAAAAAAATCATAGCATGTAATTCGTCTTTAAAAAGATTAACACATGACATGATGACAGTAAAATTCTCCTCTTAGTGATTCCATAGTAAATTATGAGGCAAAAACCAGGAAAAAAAAAACCTCATAATACTATAACGACATGGTAAGTATTTGTTCGTGCATTTAGTTTACCTTCAACAAACACCAAAATTCTGATTTTATATGTTTCGTTATTTGAAAAAACATAAATGATGTATCCTCTATATGTTAGTGACTTACTAATACTGGTATTTTCTTATTAATAACTTCCTCTTTCAATATTGGTAACCAGATCCTACTACATTCTGCCGAGGAATTTGCGACACAATTGGCCTCATTTAGCATAATTAGAGCCGCTTCTTTGATTTTTCTTTTGTTACCATCCGTTTCTTTTAGGACTATATTTGAATTATTTCATTGAACCCTATGTTCATAATCCCATGCGTGTTTACATATTTGAGATCTATCAAATTCTCTATTTTTAACATAAGATTGATGTTCACTTATTCTAACATTTAATGGCCTTGATGTTTCACCTAAATAAAACTGATCGCAGTCACAAGGTATTTTATAAATGCAATTCTTTGTCCTTTCTTGTTCATTGTTAGGTTTGGTTTTGGACAAAACAGATCTCAACGTGTTTGTTGTTTTGAATGTTGTTGAAATGTTAAATTTATTTCCTATCCTTTTAAGTTTGTCTGATAATCCTTTTATGTACGGTATTGTTATTTTCCTTTCAACCCAAACGAAAGACCACCTACCATCGAAAACGTTGCCCAAGCCATTAAAAAGCTTAAAAATAATAAATCACCAGGAGTTGATCAAATTTGCAGTGAGCTCTACAAGAATGGTGGCGATGCCCTACTACAGACACTGCATAAGCTTTTACTTCTTGTTTGGCATAATGAGACCATGCCTTGTGAATGGTCTCAAGGCGTGATATGCCCGTTACATAAAAAAGGTGACCAGCTCCAGTGTGACAACTATAGAGGTATAACCCTGTTAACAACTGCTTACAAAATACTAGCAAATATTCTCTACGAAAGGTTGCAAGTTTACACAGTGGGCATAGTTGGTAAATATCAAGTTGGATTCACTCCAGAAAAATCAACAATTGACCAGATTCATTCAATAAGACAGATTCTCGAGAAAACATTAGAATTCAATATTGAAACCCATCACCTATTCGTCGACTTCAAGGCAGCATATGACAGTGTCAAGAGAACAGTGCTATACCAATCAATGCATGAGTTTGGTATACCAGAGAAACTTATCCGACTAACGAGAATGACAATGTCTAACTTAGAAGCCACTGTTAGAATACAGGGAGAGAGTTCTAGATCCTTTGAGATAAAGGATGGACTCAGACAAGGAGATGCTCTGGCTTGCCTCCTATTTAATATTGCCTTAGAAAAGGCAGTCCGAGATACACGAATTAGGGACGGCGGTACTATTTACAATAGATCGATACAAGTCTTAGCATATGCTGATGACATTGACATAATAGGGCGTAGCAAGCGAGATGTTGAGCAATATCTCCTAGAATTGGAAACAGCGGCGAAACAAGTCGGTTTAGTCATCAACGAAGACAAAACCAAGTACATGTTGGTTACAAAGGATCCGACAGCAAATGAGGAACGAGAAACAGTCTTTGGAAGTCATACCTTTGAACGTGTTGACAACTTCACATACCTTGGGTCGCTATTGACTGCTACCAATAAAACAAGCGAAGAAATCAAAAGACGAATAAATCTTACAAATAGAGCATACTATGGACTCCAAAAGCATTTCCACTCAAGAAACATTCAAAGAAGAACTAAAATTATTATATACAAAACATTGCTGAGGCCGGTCCTCACATATGGAGCAGAAACATGGACATTAACGCAGAAAGATGAAAGACTTTTGGGAATATTTGAGCGTAAAATACTCCGCAAAATATTTGGAGCTGTAAACGACCAAGGGCAGTGGCGCAGAAGATATAATTTTGAATTGTATCAGCTCTTTGATGAGCCAGATGTCATAACGTTCATTAAAACACAGCGACTTAGATGGGCTGGACACATAATACGAATGCCAGAAAATACCATTGCTAAAAAGCTAACCACAGGAACACCTGTAGGAACAAGAAGCAAAGGCCGACCGCGAATTAGGTGGTTAGATGGAGTAGAAACCGACCTACGAATATTAAAAATCAGAAGATGGCAACATGTTGCCAAAAACCGAACAGAATGGCGACGAATCTTAGAGCAGGCCAAGATCCACAGAGGATTGTCGAGCCAAAGATGATGATGATTGTTATTTTCCTCGTAATATTCCTTGTATTCCTTGCTGTAGGATCTCGTTATAAGTTGTTCTGTTCTATTCAATCGATTGTTGAAAATTCCTTATTTATAAACGATAAAGGGTAATCATTTTTTAATAAAACATATGTTAACAAATGTTTCTCCTCCAAGAACGAATTTTCGTTAGAACAAGTAATTTTGGCTCTATTGTATAAGGATTTAATTATTCCCTTTTTTACATTAATATTGTGATGTGATTTGAAATTTAAATATCTATTGGTGTGTGTTGGTTTTCTATACACTTCTTAGAGATTAAAATATTCAGGAAAGGTAGCGTGTTATTATATTCCATAACAATAAGAAGAAAGAACAAAGAATTGTATTTATAAAATACCTTGTGAATGCGATCAGTTTTATTTAGGTGAAACATCAAGGCCATTAAATGTTAGAATAAGTGAACATCAATCTTATATTAAAAATAGAGAATTTGATAGATCTTAAATATGTAAACACGCATGGGATAATTAACATAGCGTTCAATGGAATAATTCAAATGTAGTCCTAAAAGAAACCGATAGTAAACAAAGAAAAATCAAAGAAGCGGCTCTAATTATGCTAAATTAGGCCAATTGTGCCGCAAATTCCTCGGCAGAATGTAGTAGGATCTGGTTACCAATATTAAAAGAGGAAGTTATTAATAAGAAAATACCAGTATTAGTAAGTCACTAACATCTAGAGGATACATCATTTATGTTTTTTTATAAAACGAAACATATAAAATCAGAATTTTGGTGTTTATTGAAGGTAAACTAAATGCACAAACAAAAACATGTCGAGATAGTATTATGAGGTTTTTTTTTCCTGGTTTTTCTCTCATAATTTACTATGGAATCACTAAAAGGAGAATTTTACTGTCATCATGTCATGTGTTTGTCTTTTTAAAGATGAATTACATGATATGATTTTTTTCTGACGGATATTCTCAAGTTAAAGTTGATTTCATGTAATCGAATAAACTATCTTATAAGTAAAGTCGTCCCAGGAGCGCAACTCAACAATATTGGCAATATCATTTTAAAGTCGTCTACTTTAAAATGCATAATGTATGTCTGAATTGTTAATATAAACGAGTCAGATAAAATTAAATTAATAGAAGAATTTTTCACTATGTAACAAAAAAAAATTGTTTAATTTACTATTTGTATTTTGAGAACGATTTCCGAAGTGGAAATTGAAACGTTAATAAACGTATTTTTATCTGTTTTTGTGGCTTATTCCCAGTTAAATAGTAATTAATTTAAAATGCCACAAGAAAATAGCATCTGCTACAGGGTAAAACTTCCTGTATTGTGTAAAAACAAAAATATGTAATGTATGGCATGAAAGGGTTACTTTAAATTTCGTTATACATAGAAAGATCTGAACAATAAAATATTGGACAAAATATAGATATAATGAATTCCGCCATGGTTATCATAGCAAACGAAGTTTTGAAATCAAAAAAAAGACACAGTAAAGAAAAAGGATTGGATGACCGATAACATACTAGACCTGATTCAGCAAAGAAAAAATTGTAAAAATAATGATGAGACTCGATATAAATAAATATATTAACAAATAAGATACGAGGTTAAGCGCGCAAAAGAGGCCTGGATGGAACAGAGATGTTGTTAGATGGAAAAAGTACAAAGTAAACATGACGAGTTAAATATACACAAAAAAACTACACTTAGAGAAAAAGAGCTCTTTACTTTATGAGAAATTCTAAAGATAAAATTATTCTCGACTCAAACGAAAAAAAGGAAAAATGGACCAACTATATAAAAGAGCTCTTCCTGGATACGAGACCACCACTTAACACCACAAAGTATACGAATACTGGTCCTAGTATTTTAAAAGCAGAAGTAGAGAAAGCCATCAAACAAAGCAAAAATGAGAAATCTCCAGGCCCTGACCAAATACCATCAAACTGGCTCAAACTTCTAGACGACGACAATGTCTCAGAACTAACTAATATTCATAACCATATATACGAAACTGGAATACTGCCACATATATGGTTGGAGTCTACATTTATCCCACTTCTAAAAAAACCTAGTACATCATCATGTAAAGACTTCAGACTAATTAGTCTCATGAGTTACTCTTTCTGGCTACTTCTTAGGATAATTCTTAATAGAATCAAGCAGAAATGTGAAGATGCAATGGGAAATAAACAATTCGGTTTCAAAGAAGGATTGGAAACAAGGGAAGCTTTATTCTCCATGCTAACACTACTTCAACGATCATGGGAAGTACAGAAACCAATTCACATCTGTTTTATAGATTTTGAGAAGGCGTTTGATAGGGTTTAACATGGTAGGCACATGCGTTGAATATCTAGAAATGATTGGAATGGATGAAAAAAATCTGAGACTTTTACATCTATATTGGAATCAAGAAGCTTCTATTCTGGTGGACGGAAAAGAAACAGACAAAATTTGTATTCAAAGAAATGTTACACAGGGTTGTGTGTTGCCCCCAACTTTCTTTAACGTTTACTCAAAAATAATTTTTAACGTAGCCTTGGAAGGGCAATGTGTAGCTCGAATCGGGGGAGAAATTATTAACAACATCAGAAATGCAGATGACACTGAGATCATGGCTGAATGTATCAAAGATCTTCAATTCCTTATAGATTGAGTCACTAGAGAATGCTCTAACAACGGACTAAGCATAAATACAACAAAGAAAAGTTACGTGTGGTTAGTAAACAAGACCTCGGCGCCATACAACTAATTGTCAATAATAAACCGATAACAAAAGTTACCCATTTTAAATACCTAGGATGTTGGATAATCGAGACACTAAATCCGGATAAAGAAATTAAAACTCGTATAGAAATTGCAAGAGGAGCATTTATGAGTATAGATGTGAAACCTGGATTATGAAGGTTAACATGATAACCAAATTAGAAGCCTTCGAGATTTGGTCCTAACATGGGTTCAACACATTTCAAACAGAGAAGTCTTGAACAGAGTAGGTCAAGGTGAAGGTGACTTAATAAAGATGATAAAAAAGACAACTTGAATATATGGGAAATATAATGAGAGGAAGCAAATACAGGATAATGCAGTTGCTACTCAACTCAAACGAGGAATTGGTAGGAAGAAATACTCATGGGTCCAAAACCTTCGTCAATGGACTGGCTTATCAGCAGATAAATTATTACATGCCGCGCAAAATCGAGAACAATCTAGGCAAATCGTCATGGAAGCTACCCACGGCTAAAACTTGGGCACGGTACTTAAAGAAGATATGACGAACGAACAGGAATTTGTACTGAATATTAAAATATTAAAAATTGCTATTACTGCTACTACGAGAAGTAATAAATATCAACCGTTCATGTTTAATAAGAGGACATAAATGTTTACTTGAAAATTTTGTTTGAATTTATTTTTTGAAAAAAATGTATCAGAATAATTCAAAGCAACTAATATAGACACAACAGGTAATAAAATTATCCTATAAAATTATCCCTCGTTGATTGTTGACATTTAGAAAAAGTTGACGGTATTTGAACAAAAAACAAAACGATCATAAGCGGTCAAAATGTTTACCAAAGTATCATAATATCAAAGAATATAGACGCATACGAATATAGATGCGTCTTTCATCATCATCAGTAGCTCGATAACCCTTTCTGGGTCCTGGCTTGTTCTAGGATTTTTCGTCATTCTGTTGTGTTCTTTGCTTTTTTTCCACTTGGTAATCTTAAGTGTTTTCAGATCTTGTTCCACTTGTTCCATGTATCTAAGTTTGGGTCTTCCCTTTGACCTTCTCCCTAGTGGTGTTTGCCTCATTATATGTTTTGGCGTTTTAGTCTCCAACATCCGTTCAATATGGCCCATCCAGCGCAGACTTCCGATCTTTATGGATGTTATGATCTAGGGTTCATTGTATGCTGTGTATAGTTCAAAGTTATATCTTCTGAGCCATATATCATTTTCCTTTACCCCCTTATATATGTTTCTAAGGATTTTTCGTTCAAATGTACCTAATAGGTACTGATCGCTTTTCGACAGTGTCCACGTCTCTTTTCTTGTGATGTTGTTAGATCTTAGATGTGATTAGTCCATTATATGTTTTATTAGCGATATGTATTTTTCTCTTAACTTCTTCACTAATATTGTTATCTGCGGTAACTAGTGAACCTAGATATGTAAAACTTTTCACGCTTTCGATGTTATAGTCTCGCATTGTCAGATTCTGTAGGTTCCTTTGGCCTATCGATTTACTGGCCTTCATGTATTTGGTTTTTATTTCGTTAATGTTTAGGCCACTGTTTTGTGCCGATCTTTCTATCGCACTAAATGCTTCTATCATCCCTCTTTCGCTTCTAACTATGATATCAACATCATCTGCAAATACCAATATTTGTACACTTTTTGTTATTATTGTTCCTCTGGTGTTGACTTTTGACTCCCTAATTATTTTCTCTAATGTAATGTTGAATATAATACAGGATAGGGCATCTCCCTGCCGTAGGCCCGTTCTCACATATATTTTATCTGTTAGTTCGTTTTGGATTCGAATTTTGCTTTGTACTTTAAGTGTTTCTTTTACTATATTAATGAGTTGAGTTGGAATATTAAACTCTTTCAGTGCATGGATCAGAAATTCTCGATGGATGCTATCATAGGTACTCTCAAAGCCAATGAAAAGATGATGTGTGTCTATAATAAATTCACTAGTCTTTTCGAAGTTTTGCCTCAAGACGAAGATCTGATCTGTTATGGACTTCTTCCTTCGGAAAACACATTAATATCCCCCAACTATTTGTTCCGCATTATGGTCTCAATCGGTCATACACAATATTTGACAGATGCGTCTATATTCTTTACTAATATTACCGATAACAAAAATATTAACCTGTCAATTTCTGCACGCAAGCGATCGCTGTCATCTCTCGATCTCTCATCTCTATCGTACTTCGTATACCTGTCTCTTCCTGGAACGTTAGATTCTCGTAGAGCATCGTATTCGGCAATTATTTTCCTAAATTCAACTTGAAGTTTATCGTGTTTGTCACGAGCCTTTTCTACTTCTACTTGTAATCTGGCTGATTCTTCTTGAGATTTCTCGTAGCTAGCCTAAAAAAAAAGAATAATATAATTTTGATTGAAATACTTAGTAAAATATATCAAAACTGTGTTGAAATAGTATATTTACTTTAATATTTTAAAGGAAGTACAATCCACGTTATGATTGTTATCATGTACATGTGTGACAAGAGTGCATCTTTCTGAGTGCAATCTACAGTCACTTTTGTGGGAAGTAATCCGATCTCTTATGGATTTTCAACTTTGTCCTATATTATCTTTATTACAATCTGTACAGAGGATACTATAGATTACATTTTTTGTTAATTCTTTAGGATGTCTATCATTCAATTTTGAGAACCCTTTATTTATGGTGAGAACTTCTGGTTAAAGCTGGATTGATTTCTTTGATATTCGATAATGAAACAAATTTTCTCTCTGTGTGTCCTTGGGATGTAGTGGGATTTATGTTATTATCTTCTTAAATTGTTAATGGATTAATAGATGTGATGTAAACTTAATATGATAGTGTCTAAACAAGTTTACTTACTAGCTATTTAAACAAAAAAAAAAAAAAAAATTACATCGAGTAAATATCTACCCTTATTTCAATTCGACAATCTGTCAAATATAATTTTAATTCGTTCACGTCAAATATGTGTAATGTCTGTGCTTTAGTTTTTATTTATTGTTTTAATGTATGACTGCTTCTACCGCTACGCTGAACAGTTCTATTGAACTGCATTTAAACCAGTCACTTAAATTTTTCAGCCATGACACTCTCCTTCTTCCCACACTATTTTATCATCTTATCTTTCTCTGTATTATCAAGCTAATCATTTTATATCGCTGTAACATCATTACATGTACCAGATATGTTAACTTTCTTACTTCTATTGAGTTCATTATTGTATTCTTTGTCAATTTCTCGCAATACTTCTGTATTTTCTTCTCTTCTTATGCTGCCTATCCGTTACGGACACTAACATGGCTATTCTGACTGTGTTGACTGCTGCCTTGAAAAGTCCGGTAGTGGTTAAGTTAAACCACTTTCACAGGTTATGCAGCCAGGATATTCTTCTTCGTCCTGGACATCTTTTCCCATGCACTTTACCTTGAAGCATGGTCCGAAGTAGCTCATATCGTTGTTCATTGCGCATTATATGGCCCAGGTATTCCAGTTTGCGACGTTTCATGGTTACGACTAGTTCGCGCTCTTTACCCATTCTATGTAGTACTTCTTCGTTGGTAATTCTGCCTATCCAGGAAATCCTCGATATGCGTTTATAGCACTACATCTCAAATGCTTCGAGTCTTTTCAGTGATGCTTCAGTTAAGGTCCATGACTCTACGCCATATAAAAGAACGGAAAATACGTAGCATTTTAGTAAACAAACTTTTATTTTCAATTTTATGTCGTGACTGTTAAAGATTTTTTTCATTTTGACGAAAGCTGATCTTGCCTTCTCGATCCTTATCTTAATTTTCGTCGATTAGTCCCACTGTTCATTTAAGTTTGCACCCAGATAACAAAAGTTGGTAATTTGTGTTATAGGTTGTTGGTTAACAAGTAATTGACCATGTGGTATCCTATTTTTACGTATAACCATGTATTTGGTTTTTTTCATGTTAAAATCAAGCCCAAACCTGCCACTTACTTCTGCCACCCTGGAGACAAGTGTCTGCAGACCTTCAAGACTGTCTGCAAAAATGACAGTATCTTTAGCGTATCTTATGTTGTTCAATCGTTCTCTGTTTATAAGTATTCCCTCGTCTATGTCCGTTAGCGCTAGGTTCATAATGTGCTCTGAATATGTATTGAACAATAATGGGGACAATATACATCCCTGTCGTATTTTCTTCTGTATCCATGCTATTATAAGCATTCTTCAATAACATCATATTTTAAATGGTTATCCAGATTTAGCTCACCCTCCCTCTAAGGTGAAAATATACTCATCCCAGATACCTACGGTATCAAAAGGACTGAGCTCTGGTCGAACTCTTTCCGTGTTATCGAGCCCTAGGTGACTTATAGATAGATACTCCAGGTATGCTGAAGTATCTCCCAAAAATTTTCGTACACAGCTTTCTACATGGCCTTATAGAGATGTTCATTTAAAGTCAGTTGTTTTATGTTCTCTAGGAGGTTTCTGGGAATAGCACCAGTACTAAATATAATAATAGGTAAGGTCTGGGTACTTTCCATTCTCAATTTTCTCCTTATTTGTATTTCTAGATTTATGGTCTTGTCAATCTGATCGCTGTATTTAACAAGCAAATTAATGGTGTTAGGTATTGCCAGATCAATAAGTGTTGTTTGCCTAGTAAGTTTATTAACTAGTATGAGATCGGGTCTATTATGTGAAACTGATTGGTCTGTGAGCACAGTGCGGTCGGTGCTGACATATAGGTCATATATAGCTTGCAGTCCATTTTAAGCATTCTCTCAGGGACGTATTGATAATAAGAAAGATGGTCAGTTTGGAGAAGTCCCAGTTTGTCAACTAGTTTTTCGTGAATGATTTGTCATACTGAGCCATGGCGTTCTTTATAAATAGTTCCAACAAACGCCCGGCAGCCCCCATGAAGATATTGGATGGTTTCTTGGGCTTGGCATCCATATCAGCATTTATTATTTTGGACTTGAGGATCTTTAACAATATATATATATATATATATATATATATATATATATATATATATATATATATATATATATATACGAACGTAGAATGATCACAGCTGTCCAATTATTAATTAGTATACTGGTAAGGTTAATTGGGTTAGCAGCTGAATAATGAAAGCCAAAGTGTGCTCTTTTCAACGACTTCGCTATATTTCGTTAAATTTCTTTAATATCTTCAGACGAATGTTGTGTGGGGTTGCAGGCAAAAGTGGTATTTGAAAGTTCCATGTTGAAAAACTTTTTTGAAGATTTTTTATAGTATATTTTGTTGTGCCTCACACAACATTCGTCTGAAGATGTTAAAGAAATTTAACGAAATATAGCGAAGTCGTTGAAAAGAGCACACTTTGGCTTTCATTATTCAGCTGCTAACCCAATTAACCTTACCATTATACTATATATATATATATATATATATATATATATATATATATATATATATATTTATATATATATATATATATATATATATATATATATATATATATATATATATATATATATATCATAGTTCTTAGTTGGAATAACCTGATTCCAAATGAAAACTATAAATCCCTTAGTCTTGAGAAATATCCTGAATGTCAACCAATAGTTCGACGCTGTATTGTCGAAATATTCTTGGCTGATCTCATTGAGATGTCGCCTATGCAGAGGTTTACTCATCCAGGTGCGCATTTTTTCTTGCTTTGTCAGGGGGTTTATGCGCATAATTATTATTCCCTTAGTTTTGTCCCTTAAGGGGAATTGTATCATCTACCGCGCAAATTGCTCAATTTAAGGTAGATGTCTCAGCCTCTACCTGCAAATAAGTTTTTTTTAGTAACCTGTTTATCCAGTTGCTCACCTATGTCCAAGTCCTCTTTTCCTTGATATCGTGGTAATGTTGTTCTCTCTACTGCACTGCGTGGATGGTGTTTTTGCACCTTTGTAAGAATGTTTTTACTTTCCGCTGAAGACTCTGCTGAAGACTCCGCTCAAGACTCTATATCCGTTTTTGACCACTTTATAATACCAAATGAGTAGCTCAGCGCGGAACAGGCGTAGGTATTTAATGCCTTAAATAAATTTTTACTATTAAGATATTACCGATTTAGTCGTCTTACTCTTGCTGGTGTATGCCTGGTAAGAAATGACTGAGTTGATGAAAAGTTGTCCTTTGCAACCCATGGAGCCCTTTCTGTTAAGGCTTTATGATATTGTTTAGAGCAGAGTATTGGTAGATACGCAGGACTATACAGGATGTGACCAATTTGAACAAAGGTGGAAGACAAGTAATTGAGCAGTACTTGGCCTGATGTTCGGTGTTATTTTGATCCTTAGGTATAAGAAAAGTGGTTCCGCAGTAGATCAGCATATGCAAACATTCTAATGTATGGGCTTCCACGATATAATTGCGTAGGACAGTGTTCATAATTTGTAACAGCGCACCTAGTTTCTTACGACAGATTAGTTTTGGTATCGTTGGTCTGCAAAGTGGGTTTGTCCTCACTCTTGTACGGCACGTGCCATTTCATTATTATTATTATTCAAGTAATTTTTTTTTTAATTACGTAAATGATATTGATGTTTGTCTATTTGCTTCTAATATGCTTCACTTATATTTAGATATATAACTCTCTTGCAAAATAAACAATAAAACATAACTTTTATTAACAATACGGTATACTGAGCTAAAAAAAATTATTACAGAAAGTGGAGATAACTTATATACAAACAAATTATATTATGTACCTGTACTTTGGCAATTTGACCATGTGTTCTTTCTATTTCGTACTGCATTCTCTCGTTATCGGCATGAAGCTTTTCTTTTTCACTTTGGATTCTTCTTATTTCAATTTGAACCTTTTCGTATCTATCCCTTACCATTTCGATGTCAATATTCATTCGTTCTAGTTCTTCTTTAGACTTTTCCTCAATTTCTTTAGATCTACAAAAAAAAAAAATTGTTTAGAAAATCTCTAGTTTAGGTCGTTAATAAAAACTAGGGAAATTATACTTTTGAACTAATAAACTAGGCGTGTAAGGTTGTCTTATAGAAATAATTATTGATAACTGGTCCTCATCAGAGACATTTCGCTTATGATTTCACGTACCACACCCCCAGGTATATAGGCTAAAATAAGTGAGAGTAGCCAGATATGGAGAAACTTGCACCGTGCTATTGTCGGTATAAGCAATCCTCTAGTTACTGACCAACGGCTTCAGATGGATGAGTTTTATCCCTTTTTATCCTGCGGTTCAGAAATTGTCCTCGAAAGCGAAAGAACTAGAACAGATTTAACGGCATAAGAATGCAAGAGGCAAGGGAAAAAACTGCATTAAAGGTGCATCAAAACGTCCTTACACATTGATCATGGCAATCACAAGCCGCAGTGTTTAAGATAAAACAAGCCCAATTTGATTCAAACCTGGAACGTTAAGACTCTATCAATCAGGAAAGCTGATCCACGAAATTGAAATAGTGCGGATGAAAATAAATATAATGGGCATAAGAGACGTTCAGTGCCCAGAGACAGGTAAACTTAATAGCAAAAACGGAATGATGTATTTATTACAGTGGAAACAGTGACCCCTCTCATCTATATGGAGTCGGAATTTTGTTTGACTCAGAAACAGATGTATCACTGATTAGCTTTACCCTATACTCAGAGTACTCAAAGAAAATAATAATAAATAAATTAAAGAGAAATATAAGGAAAATGAATCTAATCTAGTTACACGCAACAATAGCAGAGGATATGATATAGCAAGAAACGAAAACCTGGAGCAACATAATATTTGCAGGTGACACTGTTATTTTAGGAGTCTAGATCCACCACAATATTTAGAAAATTGAGCTAATATATGAAATGTTTAGTACGGATTAGAAATTAACATTAAGCAAACCAAGTTCATAATTATTACAATGCGATATATACAAGAGACGCTAGCCATCGAAGAAAATTGGGTAGAAAGGGTTAGGAACTACAAATAGATAAATGAGACCATCGAAGAATGTCGAAAAATAAGAACACGCATTAACATTGTGAAGCAAGTTTATGAGGCTAAAATTGAGGATAACAGCGTTAAAATGATTCGAAAGCTGGACATTGAAGGTAGAACAACTAAAGAAACTGGAAACATATAAGGTGTGGTCTTCTTCTTCTTCTTCAGCCTTCATTCATCCAATGTTGGACATAGGCCTCCTCCAATTGCTTCCACGCTTCCCTATCTTTTGCAATTCACATCCACTGCTTTCCAGCTACAGCAGTTATATCGTCTATCCATCTCTTTTTAGGTTTTCCCACGCTTCTTTTTGTTTCTCGAGGTCTCCAGAATGTCACTTTATGAGACCATCTGTTGGTGTCTTGTCTTGCTACATGTGCTACCCATTGCCATCTCAATGTCGCTATTTTCCCATGATGTCGGTTACTTTAGTTCTTCAACGTATTTCGGTGTTAGGAATTTTGTCTCTGAGGCTTATATTTAACATGGCCCTCTCCATGGCCCGTTAAGATACTCTTAATTGTTCTGCCATTTTTCTTGTTATTGCCATAGTTTCCAATCCATAAGTTGCAACTGGTAGTATACAAGTGTCATAGGTTTTTCGTTTTAAGTGAATTGGGATTTTTTTGTCTTTTAAAATGAAGCTCAACCAAAAGCAGCCCATGATAATTGTGTCCTTCTTTTAATTTCTAGGGTTTGATTTTTTTTTTTCGTTTTTAATTGCATGTCCTAGATATATATATATATATATATATATATATATATATATATATATATATATATATATATATATATATATATATATTGTTCTACCTTTTCTATATTGATGTTATGTATCGTGATGTTTTGTAGGCTGTTGCTTAATATCCTTGTTTTGTCGGGATTCATTTTTAATCCTATTTGATTCGATTTGTGATTTAAATCTTGTAGCATTCATTTTAGTTCATGGATATATGTGCTTATTAGTACTATGTCGTCTGCAAAACGCAAATGGTTAAGATATTCTCCATCTATTTTTAATCCATTTTCGGCCCAATTTAGTTGTTTGAAAACATTTTCTAATGCCAAAGTAAATAACTTGGGTGAGATGGTGTCGCCCTGTCTCACACCTTTGCCAAGGTCTATTTTCATAGTTTCCAGATCATCATCTATTTTTACGTGAAAAGTAGCATCATCGTATATATTCTTAAGGAAGGCAGCATATCTTGAATCTACTCTGGCGTCGTTTAATGCTGTTAAGAAAGCCCATTTCTCGATACTGTCGAATGCTTTGTGATAATCGACAAATGCCAGATGTAGTGGTATGTTGTACTCTATTGTTTTTTCAATAATGGTTCGAATTGTTTGCAAGTGATCGATAGTGCTAAAACCCTTACGAAAGCCTGCTTGCTCCACTGGTTGGTATGCATCCAGTATAGCTGTCAATCTATTTGTTATTATTCGGGTTAGTAGTTTGTAAAGGTGTGACAATAAGCTTATTGGTCGGTAGTTTTCTATATTTGCGGCGTCCCCTTTTTTATGGAGTAGAATGACTTCTGCATTTTTCCATGTCTTCGGTATTTGTCCTTCCAATAGGCATTTATGAAGTAATGCTCTAATGCAGTGCCTCCCATTTTTAGCATATCTGAAGTAATTTTATCTTCACCTCATCTAGTAAGATGTGGTGCTATGGACGAATGCTTAAGAAATCGTGGATTCAAAGAATAATGCCGAAGTGCTAAGATGTTTACAAAAAGAGTGCCAAGTCATTAAAACAATTTAAGTAAGAAATCTGGGCCATATTCCTAGGAGTGAAAATAATAAACTGCTAAGACTTTTCGAGCAGGGAAAGATCAAAGGTAAGAGAAGCATTCGACAAAGGAGGATTTGCTAGCTGAGAAACCTTCGACAATGGTGTAACTGTAGCTCAGTAAACTTCTACAAAGAAGTCGCAAATTCCATACGGATGACTATGATAATAACCAACCTCCGATAAGAGAAGGAATTTTCAAGAAGTGCAAGAAGTGAAGTTATGTCAAGTGAAAAGGTGTCACTCCGCGGTAGTTACTAAATAAGGCATTGAAATGTAAATGACAAATCTTTTTTATTCTGTTATCCTTCCTTTTCTGTTACTAATTGTATTTTTTTCTTTACTAAGCTTCGTAAGAAACATACACAGGAACTTTTACAAGGTTAAAAACATTAGGATATAAATAATGACTAGACGAAGAACCTTAATGAGCAAAACGTAAAGGTAAAAAGTACATCATTAAAAAACAATTCAAACTGCAAGAAGTAGCTAGGTCAATAGGCTAAAGAATAAGAAGAATGGATATCATACGTCATCAAAAACAACACATAATTATTACAATAAGATATTTAGTTAGTGTACAATAAAAAGCAACAGTACTTTCAAAATACGAAGAAAGATGGTAGTAAAATTTATAACTAAATTTAGTCTTTGTGTCCAATCTTAGATTGTAACTCTTAATGCAGAAAAAAGCTGATAACAATAACTATATAATAATATAACGAACTTAATATTGTTAACAAATAGTCGATATAAATTAAGAGTATATATAAATTCTTACCTTCCAAGTTGCATTGCGACTCTGTCATACATTTCTTGCGTTCTTGCCATTTCCTCTTGGACCTTGCGTTGATCTTCTCGAAGTTTGGTTGCGTGAATTTGTTGTTTTTCTAATTCTATTTCAAGTCGTTCCTTGTCGGCAGAAACGGTGTCTAATTTGTTTTGTATTCTATAGAGGTCACTTTGTGATCTACAAAATAAATTAGTTTAATAATGTTAAATCATTAAATTTTAAAGAACTAGATTAGTTTACTGTTTTTTGTTATAACGTTGGAAAAAAAAACGAATGTGGCAGGTAGAAGTTATACTTCTATGCAGGCGTTCGCCGTTACATATTTATATGGGAGTCAATCTGCACAATCATTACATATTTAATGCTATAGGTAAGAGAGAGCAGAAAAAGAATTAGGTATATAGAAATATTTTTATATTTTGTTAATAATATAAAAATTACAATACAATACATTGCACCATAATTCAATATAATAATACAATACAAATTAAAATGCAATATTCGTAAGTATTTAAAACTGCCAATATACATAACTTACTTTACGAAGATAAAAATAAAAAACCAACAACTCGGATAATGTTGTAAATTTTCATTTTATTTTAAAATTTAACATTTTTGCATATATTACATATATTTAATAACATTAAAGTGAGGTTTTTAAATATTTCAAAAATAAAAAAGGCAATTCATTATGGGATTCGAACTCACGTACACTAGCGTATGAACCAAACACGTAAAAGATTTGCCAGTTAGACATGATACTAACAGATTTTAAAATTGACAGTTGTCTTGTCATACAGTGATTATTTTAAAATACAAAAGCCTAAAATAATTACGAACATTTAATAAATAATACAAAACATATCACATAAATAAGAATATTAATATATATTATATAATATATATAATATACAATATTATAATATATATAATATTGTATACAATACAACAACCACAAAGCATCTTGTGGTTTTGATGAAATATCAGGTATAGTAATTAAGAAAATTGCGTCTCAAATTTTGACACCACTGGCTCACATTATAAATGCTTCTTTCAATACTGGTATTTTCCCAATATGCTGAAAACTTCTATCATTTCACCGGTATTAAAACAAGGTAATCCTGAATTAATGTCAAATTTTCGACCATTGTCTCTTCCATCTGTGATATCTAAGATTATTGAATATGCAATGCTAAAACAACTTTTATTATTTTTAGATATCAACCAAATTATCACAAAGCATCAAGATGGATTTCGAAATAAATTTTCTACTTGCACAGCCATTAACAGTTTTTATGCGGAAGTCTTACTCTCGATTGAGAACGGTGAAAATCCAACTGCCATTCTTTGTGATCTCAGTCATGCATTTGATTGTGTGCAACACGATGTACTCCTCGATAGATTGTACAGATATGGTGTTAGGGGAGTTGCCCACAGTTGGTTTGGTTCCTATCTGAAAGACCGGCACCAAATAGTTAAAGTGAAAAATAACTTCAAGATTTCAATGTCTGATCCGATTATTAATAAGAATGGAGTACCACAGGGCTCCATATTGGGCCCTATATTATTTATTTTGTATATTAATGAACTACCACATGTAATGCCTGATGCATTTGTATCAGTTCATGCGGATGACTCAACAATGCTATATCGCGATAAAGACAATTTTTTTACAAGAAAAAATAACAAACTCACTGAAGACCTTCTCTGATTGGTTCAGTAATCAGTCGCTCCTGTTCAATGTTCACAAAACTAAATTTTTATCATTTACATCACGTTCAAATTCTAATAAACCTGATTTAAGTATTTCCATCAATGGTGAGGATATTTTGAGTTGTAGTGATGTGAAGTTTTTAGGAGTGACTTTCGACTCTCATTTATCTTCTAAGACTCATTGTTGCAATGTATGTAAAAAACTCAATTCTAAATGTTATCAATTGAGAAATTTGGGTAGAATACTTAATCTGCAAAACCTTCGTCTTTTTTATTTTGCTGAAGTACAATCGACAATAAGTTACGGTATAACTATCTGGGGTGGTTCTTCTAGTGTAAAGGACATTTTCAAGGCCCAAAAGCGTATTGTCAGATGTATAGCAGGTGTTCCGTATGGTTGGTCTTGGAAAAACCTATTTAGAGATTTGAATATATTAACAGTGTATGGAATTTACTTTTTGGAATTATTGATACTATTTCATAAAAATAAAAGAACTTTTTTATGTAACAGTGATATTCACTCACACAACACAAGAAATAAGAGACAGTTTGTAGTACCCTATCGACATTTAGAAATAAGTAGGAAATCATATACTATCTGTGGTTTACTACTGTGTAATCAACTTCCTCAAAAATTTAAAAACATTAATTCAACTACAGCTTTTAAAAACCAAGTCAAAGAGTACCTAGTGACCATGTGTCCTTATACATTAGGTGAATATTACGAGGGTGTATCTGTGAATGCCTAAGCTGCAACATAACCAAATTTATTATTATTTTAATTATATGTCTATATTGTACGTTTTTTAAGTATTTTAATGTTTAAAATATTTTTAATGTATTGTTTCCATTTTTTGTAATATTTAATATTTATAATTTTAGTTTTGACTTGCTGTAAACCTAGTTGTAACTTACAGTCAAATAGACTATCTATCTATCTATCAGCCTTTTTTTCTATTTTAATGTTAATAACAAAATTGAACATAGTCATTCTTCTTCCTTTCTGATGACCTCAATTGTTATATGGAGATCGAATGTGCAGAACGAAACAGCTGTGGCCTTTTCCCGTTCTCCCCCATATGTATACGCTGAAGATTCTGTCTCTAAATAGCGATGTCATGTCCGGCTTCCAATACATTCACATACAGTCGTATAGCGATTTCCACTTAAACATTCCTATTTTCAACGCACTAGTTGGAGATAGGACCCATTTCGTATTTTCATCGCAGATACTGTGCATTGTGCAACCTTGTGAGTTGCATAGTCTCTGAATTTGCACCGCTCAAAGGCAGATTAATAAAATTTATTTTATTTGAACTAAACTGTTATATTGGAACAACAATAATAAAGCCGTTTAAATTTACACTATATTATATTTAAAACCAGATTTTTATTTACAGATAAGTAAAAAAAAAACAAAGAAATATACTGGGTATAAATTTTGTTTAGGGCTTGTCCATCCCAATTAAAGTGGTTTTTTGTTAGACAAAATAACGAAAAAGAACATCCCGTTCAATTGTTGAGCAGTGTATTGTTGTTAATGAAATTAGTTGAAAACTGTAGTAAATCAACTTTAATCTTTAATTAGCAAGTTTAAGAAAAATAATATTAAATTTGTTAAAAGAAATTAATATAAATGACACTAATAAAAAATTTTTAGCTGTGTCTAAGTAAAATAGGTTTAAATAAAAATTTGGAAATTAAAACCAAAACTTACCTATCGTATTTCTCCAATAATTTATCGAACTCTTTGTGCATGTTTTCTCGATCATCCAATGCTTTTTGTGAAGCGTATATTGCTTTATCTAGTTTTTCCTTTAAGAGATCGATCTCAGAGAGAGCATCGTCTCTTTCGATTTGTAGTTTTTGTTGTGAAGAATGTGTCTTCTCCCACCTATCTTTAATGACGTCAAGTTCGGTTTCTATGTCTGCTCGTTCTCTTTGTACCTTCGCTATTTGTGTCAGCTGCATTTCGACTCTTTCCTTCAGTTTTTCGCATTCGTCCTGGAAACTATCACGTTCTTTCTGGATTCTAGTAATGGTAGTCTAAAACAAAATTATTTTTACGCAACTATTACTAATTCCAAAATTTTTAGAAAATATACATAAGAAATTAATACAATTATAACCACCGTTAGATACAAGAAATATTTCTTTCCAGAAAAGCGATACATTACCAAAGCCGATATTACAGTACTCGAATCAATTTTACTGACTGAGGCTACTCGGTAACTAAATGGTGCTTCAATCGATGTCTCTTGTCTTGTCGATGGTCTCTTGTCTTCTTGGGTATATTAAATGGTGATGAGTATATGTTTAGGGTACCCTGCTTAGAAAAACTGTTATTTCTTTAGGACATTTTTCGAATAACGGGTATAGGCACTGGTATTGGAAATTTTCATTCACTGAAGGTCTGAGGTGCTGCGGAGGAGGACTTTGTGAATGTGTTGAGGGCAGCTGTTGCTGCTACCTCCTTAAGGATAGACATAATTATGCAATGCCTCGGTACACTATAAAAAACTCATCTCTCCCTGGCCGTGTATAAAAGCTCTAAGTGAGGTATTTATCTTTAATTGAGGTAATTTAAAAGAGGAGAGAATTTCAAAGTTTCCATGTATTTGTTAAGGCGTTCTTTGCTTCCAGATGTCAGCAAATTGTTTGGGAGAAAGGTAATTTACTTTTTATGGTGAAATTTAAGCTAAGATAGCAGCTTTTTTGTCAGATCTTGACAGATTAGAACGTGCCCTTCTTATACTTTTAAGAGTTGCACTTAGATTGTGATTCCAACATTGTACTGCTGAATAAAACTTCTAGATACTCAATGTGATGGTTAAAGTGAAGTCCATCCCCCAGAAGCTTAAGATCCATTCTTTCTTTAGTTTGCTGTGTGTGACGACTGCCACTAACGTTTGAGTTTCTAAAGGGTTTATTCTTTGAAGTAAAAGTGGTTATATATTCTGACCTATATATCCGAAACATATTGTGCGGTCACAAAACACAAACCGTGATAGAATACCCTTTGTTTTTAAAATATAAATGAGCTTGTATTGATCGAACCTGCCAATTTTTCTTTATCCATAGTTATACCATAACACTAAATTAGGTTGATGTATAAAAGACAGCTTTATATAACTACTTACCTGCGTTTTTTCCACTTTATCTCTCAGCCGATCTGATTCTACTTGAGCTGACTCTTTTTCTTTCTGCAGACGAGCAGACTGGCCGAGAACCTTGTCCAATTGCGATTGGATGTTCTCTAAGTCGTATGCCACCTTTTCTTTCTCCAATTGTATCTAAAATTTAATGTATTAATAATTATTTAGTAGACCATTAGTATCTACTATCTATACATATAATATATATATATATATATATATATATATATATATATATATATATATATATATATATATATATATGTGTGTGTATGTGTATATGTTCCGAAATATTTCCGCGGTTAGTACAATTAAACCTAAAGCTAAAATTTATACTATTACAAGAATTAATATTAAACTTAACAGTCTTCCGAGTTGAATCGCGTAGATTATCACTAAGACGAGCTTTCGACATCCTTTCTGATGTCTTCATAGGACTTACGAGGTCTCATTTTCCCGAGCCCCCCATTTTCTACAATGATCACTTACCAATGCATTAGTGCAGACTACGAGAACTTTTCTGCCTAGAAATGAAAAAGACAAAGCAACTGAGAGTTGAAGGTAAAGCAGAAGTGATTTGTTCCCCTGTCAACGGAGTAATTAGACCTCCTACATTTGACGGCGAGGCCTCCTGGCGTCCTGGCCTATGTATAGAAAACAATTCAAAACCACTGAACAAAATAATGGATGGACATATAAACAGAAGGTAAGATCTCTTATATTATCACTTTAAGGTGAGGCTTTCGAAATCCTCCAAAGTATCGTAGAGGATGCACAAAAGAGCTGTAATACCATCGTATTGGCTCTAGACCTAAGATTTAAAGCAGGTATACCAGAGTCAACTAAAACTGCATATCCAAGGCTCCAACGAATATGTACAAGAATACGGAGCAGAAGTAGAAAAGGTGGCATCACTCGCTTGGTCCAAAGCCTTAGAAGAGTTCCTACACAAATTCACCATCCAATGTTTCCTTGATGGTCTGCGCGATGTATATCTTCAGCAGACATTACGACTAGGAAGAGGACGCTACCAAATATTAAAGGATGCTATTGTCGTAGCCTTGGAGTATGAAGTCGCAAAAAATGTGTCCTGTCATCAAAAAAAAGTCTATTAAGTAAGAGATGTTGCCTAAGAGGAAAAAGACAATTTAAATACGCTGCTCCAGGTGTTCAACGCAAAATTCGAGAATATCTCGGTCCAATAGTTGTTTTTTAAAACAAAAACGTCAAGAGCACCCAAAGTGTTACAATTGTGGATTGGTAAGCCACCTTCAACGTAATTACAGACAAATATCAGAGCAGAGAACAGAAAATTTATTTACAGGCCATTTTCACCACAACAACGCAGTCCCAGGTTTTCAATGTCCACAATAAGAAGAAGCAGCGACACCTTAGATGTCGATGTACTTCTCAATAGTAACCGAGCAGGAAGAAGTCATGCGAATGTCTACGGCCTCTTAAAAAACCATGCGAGGAGTGCAACTGCCGATCCTACTAGCGCCAAGAAGAACGATTGGTCAGATTCGACAGTTGAAAACCATAGAGGGTGGAAGTAACGAATAAGCTCTAACCAAGGAAAACCTCGAGGCTAAGCAAAGTAAAGATCCAGATCTAAATCTAGTCCGTGAGCAGAAGAAAGATCCAGATCTAAAGATAATCCGTGAGTGATTGGATAGCGGAGCTAGGCCACAGTATCTATTTGCTTCAGTGAGACTCCTTGTGTCAGCTAGTTGACGTTATTACTCGTAAATAGGAAGAGTCCAGATGGAACAAGAACAGTGCCCCAATTGTTCTTTTAAAGTCATGTAATGAAGACTTGCAACTTGCTGAACTTCATAACGTCGCCTCGTCGGGGAAGGGGGAGCGTATTTTGGAATAAAAAAGACTCTGGCCATGAAAGTCCGTGAGAGGTATTAGCCCCAACTAGTTGCTGTTGACATTTTGGGACCATTTTCAGTAACAAAATCAGAAAACACGTATTTAATGGTTGCTATAGGCTATATTTACAAATGGCCAGAAGTAGTTGCACTACCCAACCAAAAAGCAATCACATTTGATGAGGCTCTGCTTGAGAATGTCATCGCCGACATCATTTCTGCTTCATTCTGATCAGGGACGCAACTTCGAATCGGTAGTTAAAAAGAGCATGCTGACTTTGCTGGAAGTTAAAAAGACAAGAACGACACCGCTTTATCCTAAATCTGACGGCATGGTAGAAAAACATATCCGGACTATCAACAACTACCTGTCCATGTTTGTACACAAAAATCAGAGAGACTGGGACAAACTTTTGTGTTTGTTTCTGCTAGCTTACCGAATCTCTCAACCTGAAGTAACTGGTAAAACTCCAGCAATGTTATTGACTGGTCGAGAGATGAAGCTTCCCATCGATCTCCTACATGGCAATCTATCAGATGGAGAGATGTATCAATGACACTCCCCGAGTACGTCAGCAGCCATAAGGATCGTCTGGTTAAGTTGAACAGGTAAAGGTTAGGTTCGATGAGAAATCCACTCCCGTTAGGTTCAAGGAAGGTGATGCAGACCAACCAACCAGAAGGACCTAATGTACCTAATTACTAAGAAGATAAAGGAGCTTGTATACAAGGTGCAACTAATGCCACGAAGTAAGCCGAAGGTAGTCCACACCTAAAGAGTTTTTAGGAAGGGCATAATCCACCAATCTTATCCAGTTAGGGAGCGATGTTATGTGACTGTAATTATGGTCGTGTAATAAGTGTTGGAAGAGATATCTAAAACATTTGTTCGTGTATAAAAAACAGCTGCGACGTTACTTTAAAAGAGACAGTTATTTATGCGACTGGTGAAGTGTTTATCTTGTAAGATTTATTATGGTAATTATTAATGAGATATAATTTGTTATTTATATAGTGTGTTGAACGTAATAATATTAAAACCATTTAATAATAAAAACATTGGATTTTTTGATATTATCTAAATAAAAAAAATCCTTCGAAATATAAATATAACTAAACTTAAATATTAGGTCCGGAAGACCCTTTTTGCCAGTTTATATAAGTAATTTGCCTTGCCCGGGAGATTTAAGAAATACAATATATTTAATTAGGATACATACCCTTCTGGTCTCCCCAAGTGACTTGTCGAGCTTTTCTTGTAACTTGTCTACTTCGGTCTGTGCTTTGTCTAGAGCGTTCTGTAATTTGTCTTGTTGTGATTGAGCCTTTCCCAAGGTCGCCGACGTACGCTCCAGTTCTTCTCGTGCCTTCTCCAACTCCCCGTACGCTCGATCTTTGTCCGAGTGCAATTTCGCCGTAGTCGATTGCGCTCTCTCCAATTCTTCCCGAAGACTCTCTTGTTCTTGGTGAGAATTTTCTAGTCGGGCCTAAAATATAGAATTGATTAATTTATGGCTTAGAATGTAAAATATGAACTTCATATACTTTCTGCATACTTAATGATATAGATATACGTGATCCACGGCAAAATTTTATTTTTTTTGCTTTTTATTTCAATTAATCGCATCAACTACTAAGATTATTAGCAGAATAACCATTTTTTTAATTGTAAATATGTGGAGCGTTTAAACTACAAATCATGCCGACGATTCAACATTCAATAGAACATGACACTCTAAGATGAAGATGAATATGTTTACTAAATGCCTTGTTACTAAGTAAAGTTGGCTTCATTCTCTTTATAAAGAGTCGCTGATTATATCCGAATGACCGCAGTAACTAAGCGAGTGCCTTTATTTTATTATTTACTTAATTTATAAATCCCATCTTTAGTAATAAATGGCACAACTCAAAAATATTAAATTTTGAGTTTTGGTCATAAAGCGACCGAACATAGTGCCCTCTATTGATTTAATGCTAACACATGTTGAAATCGGATACCCCTGTGGGTAGATTTCTGCTTGGGTCAGTTAAGTACCGTACTGTTCCATTTTGGCGGTTCAGTCATAAACTGACCGGCTTTAGTGCTACGTCAGCAGTGAAAGGAAGAACATCGTCGTTAGTTGAAATATTCATAATTGTATCAGTTTATTACTTAAACTTAAGGTAAGTAATTTTTTATTTTAATCATAAACAGTGATATTCGTACTTGTATCATTTTATTTCTCAAAATGCTTTAAATATGGTAAAACTTCTACCAATTATGTCAGTTTATTATCAAATATTTAGATAATCTATTTAAATTAAATTAATAAGAATCTCTGTTGTAGGGTTTATAAGAAATTAATCAATTTAAATGTTATCGTGGATGCAAATATAGTGCGATGGAGAGGAAAACTCATTACCAATATGGTTTCAATACCGAAAACTAATTATTTGGAGCATAGCACGAATAAGAACAACATTTTGACTGAATTAGAAGATTTAAAAATTATTGTAAGTAGCAAACCAATTTCTCGTTTTTCGTATTCAGAATTTCTTTTTCTTTGTAGTTTTGTTCGAATAATTTTGCTAATCAGAACATTGTCTTCACCTAGAAAGTCGAGTAAATGGGCCAACGAAGGATATTATCCAATAGCAGCTCATCCAGTAACGATTTCTTATCAGACAATTCATCTTCTCAGCATTTGTCCACACAAAATGAAACATCAACAACAGTTAAAAAGAGTAAAAAGCGCATTGGCCAACCACGTAAATGGAAACAAAATACAGCAAACAGATTAAGAAATTCTGGAAGTCTTATGTTTCAATGTCTAAATCTAAACAAGTTGTTGAGGCTCAAGTAGTAAACCACCTTGCTTTGAGAAATGTAGACTAAAGTACAGGGAGAAAATCAGTGAGGATGCAAGAAATATAATTTTTTAAAAATTTTGCGAACTGGCAGATATTAATAAACAGAGATTATTTATGCATTCTAATACTGAAGATGTTATACCAAGGTACAAATATAGGAATGCTGTAAATCCAAGAATTAACAATAAGGCATATTTATTTACTATTAATGACGAAAAGTGTGTAAACTTGTTTTTTAATACTTTGGGCATTACTAATCATATGGTGCGCACAACTTTTTAAAAAGTAGACCAACATGGCTTCGAGGATGAAAAGATGATAACCGAGGAATGCAGGGCAGTCATACCGAAATTAATGGTTAACTTGTACAAGATATAAAAAATTACATTAATTCGAGACCACGTAACGAATCCTATTATCTCAATCTAATACTTCACGTGAGTAGATCGATGGGAGGAAAAGTGTAGCAGAACTTTTCAGAGACTTTAAAGAGAGAGAGAGAGAGAGAGAGAGAGAGAGAGAGAGAGAGAGAGAGAGAGAGAAATACAGAAAAATAGATCATTTGGCAAATACTGTACATATTATAAAATTTTAACGACTCATTTTAATATAGTGTTTTGTAAGCCCAAGAAAGATAAGTGTGATCTGTGTCTTTCTTATAATAATACAAATGGGGAAGCAAGGCAAAACATGCTTAAAGAATACGAAACACATCTTGAAGAAAAATAGTTGTGTAGGAAAGAAAAATATTTTGATCGCCTTCATACAGAAGACAATTAAGAAAATTGTTATTTATGATTGGCTGGCAGTGCTTTTGTGCCCAAGGGGTGATATATCTGCGTTTTATTTCAAGTCAAAACTTAATGCTTATAATTTTACTTTGGTTGAACTAAAAAAAAAAAAAATAGATCCAAATAATGAAAAAAAGCAAGCCTATATGATGTTCACTGTTTCTATTTGAACGAAACATGCAAAACATAGTTGCATTGAAATCGGTTCTTCCATAATAAACTATTTTAAAATAATATACAAAAATGCCAACTTTTCAGAGAAACAACCGGAAATAAACTTTTTCTTGAACAACTGCTGTGGACATAGACAACTGCTGGAAAAAGAATCCCAGAAAGTCTATTTTATTAGAAAGAAGCGATATTGTCATATGGAGAAGACATTTTCTAAGAACCATAAAGGAAATAAGAAACCAAAAAAGAAAAATATTTTATCTTGATGAAACATGGATCAACGAGGGTCATACACCAAATAAATTTTGGCAGGATGAAACTGTTACAAGTCAAAGGCACGCTTTTGTAAATAACTTATCTACTGGTTTAAACCCACCATCAGGAAAGGGACGCAGGCTGATAATAGTACACATTGGCAGTTCAGACGGTTTTGTTGAAGGTGGTTTATTAACTTTTGAATCAACTCGTACCGGTGACTACCATTAAGATATGAACGCTGATGTCTTTCAAGAATGGTTCGAACAAATGATAGATCTTCTTCCTAAGAACTGTGTAATAGTAATGGATAATGCAAGTTATCACTCCAGACTTATAGAAGGACTGCCCACAACCAAGTGGTTAAAAAAATACTTGCAGAATTGGCTGAGTTCAAAAAACTTTACGTACCATCCCGGATCTATAAGACTATACTTTATTCGTTGTGTGTCCTTCATAAAGAAAAATTTAAAAAATACGAAATTGATGAAATTGCCAAAAATCGTGGAATGACAGTACTTAGAATCCCACCATATCATTGTGAATTAAACCCGATTGAACTGGTATGGGCACAGATAAAGAGTGAAGTTTCAAGAAAAAATACCACTTTTAAAATTCATGATGTTAAACAGTTTTGGAGGCCGTAAATAATGTAAAACCTGAAAACTGGGAAAAGGCAGTAAATCACACTATTAAAGAAGAGGAAAAAATGTGGAAGCTGGACAATATTACTGATAAAATGATCGAGCCAGTTATTATAAATCTTGGTTCTGAAAGTTCATCTTCTGAATCTGATTTGGATTTGTAACAAGTAGCTGTAAGTTTTATATTAATATTTTTATTCATCTATTTAACATACCTTAGATGGTTTTAAAAACTCTTTTTCTCTTTTGTAATTTTTAAAAATTAAAAAAAAATGTGAATTTTTTAAAACCCTTTTTAATGTAGACCAGTCAGTTCTAATATAGTGTGTGATAAAAGAGGTCACTTTTGTTTACATACACATAACACTTTATAACACTGAAATAATTCATTTATTTTTTACAATTATTCAAAGTAATTTTTCAATTAATCTTGAGCACGCCCATGGAGTGGTCGGAGATACCAGTTAAAATTATGCTAATTACTCTCTCGTTCATAAAAATAAACTATAGGGGTGGGAAATATTATCAAACAATGTTTGACAACAGATATTTATATTTTGCACGTTTTTATAAATTTATCAAAACATTGAAAGCCCCCACTTATAATTCTAAACGCTTATACTGTATGCAAAAATAAAGTAATATTACTAAAAAATAGTTCCAATGAAAACCATTCATATAAATAACAATAGTTTCTATACAATCTACATTTTCCTATTATATGTGAAAATATTTTGTCCCTAATAAAAATGATAGGAAGATTCTACTAAAAGATAGAAGATGGTGTCAGCTGCTAAATACATAGTAATTAATCACGAAAATAATGTGATCGCTCGCCAAAATTGCCAGTATATCTCCATCAATCAATCTATAAACTAATCAGACAGGGGATATATGAACAAAGTATAAATTTTACCAAATTTCTATTTTGTTTACTTTTAACATAAACAAGCTGCCGTAATGGAAATGTTTGTGTAACTTTCCATATTTACAAAATGGATTTTGATGTTTAAAGTACGTGTTTTCCCTTAAGTCTGGAAATTTATGTTTGCCATTATAAATATGATATATAATATATAAGGGCATTACTTTACAAATATATACGAGGTATGACTAACTATAATGAAAATGAAAATAACAAATAATAATCTCAATACAACTGTCGTATGATCTTTTTTTTTTGTTTATTGATTCTTTCTATTTCATTTATTTCAGTTGCCCGTTTTTTTTCATGCTGTTCGTTTTTCTTGTATGTGGTCTGAGTTTTATTTTTGTACGATCTTTTACTCAAAATTAGCTACTTAGATCAACTTATTAGTATTAAAATTATTTAGAAATTCCTTCTTCATTCTTTTTTGGTTTCCACCTGATAGGTATTTGATCAGCACATATTAATTAGAAGTTGCATAAATTTTAATAAAATCATACAATATTATTACTATTATATACTGCAACTTATAGATTAAGCATATATTTAAGGAGGAATATTAAACTTTCCGTGACTAACATCCGGTCTGTCAGACGGACCACTTCGAGTTTTTATGATTATCCTAATCATTCGTTATTTATCGTCGCCGCTCTCAGTAGCTGCCTAATTCATAGCTGATACTCCAACAAACCCCAGAACACTGGTTAGTCTGTACACGGACGATACAGCTATAGCAGCTAGCAGTAGAAATCCTAATCTAGCTGCCAGCCACCTTCAAGGTGCTCTGAATAGATTTTAAAGATGGTGCATAAAGTTCAAAGTCGCCCCGAACCCTGAAAAGATAC